CCCGAAAAAGAATTAAAAAACTCATGCATAGAACCGTTGATAATAACAAAAAAATAAACATCCTCTATGGAACCTTTAATCCAAGAGATGAAATATACGAGGGAAGCCTTTTTGAATCATCCTAGAGACTAAAAAATCTCTAGAGACCGTATCAAAGCCTTATGAATATCTATTTTAGCATAAAAAATTTATTTCTAGAAGAGTAATTGAATAATAGTATACTTAATGGTTTTAACTCCTACAACTTAGTATTTACTTATAATAGTATTCTTAATGGTTAAATAACATAAAAATGTCAAAATTTCACTCTTACTATTAACTTCTTGTCGTACCGTTTCATACCCTTCCCCTGACAATATCTCATCGAGACTTCCTCAACACATCCTCATCGCTAAGGGTTAAGGACAACACATGTCATGAATCATTTTGATGGTCTTGCCTGACAGTCTTGGTTTGAGACAACTTTTTTACTGCTTTCTAGGATTGTTTTTTAGTACAAAAAATTTTAATTCAAATTTTTTTTGTAATAAAAAAGTTTTTTTTAGAAAGCAACAAAAAAGCTGTCCCAAACGAAACCAAAATCTCACATCAATGACCTTCCCTTACAACATCTAGTCACAATTTTGTCTCCTTTTAATCATTCGGGGAACTACATATGTTGCTGATTCAGTGACGTTTTTCCCCAACCAGATCGTATCATGACTTCCTCATCTATTCCTTTGAGCGAGATGGGATTAATAATATCATAAATTAAATGAGTAATTAATGTTAGATTTTTAATATATAAATATTATAATTTTAAGTGTTAAATATGCAAATCCAATAAATTATGTATTTATGAAGGGCTCATATACCCTAATGATCACATCCAAATACAATTTCAAAAGTTTGATTATAGTAAAAATTGGCTCATTGGGTTCGTCATTTAATCCAAATTGGCGGCTTAGCCCCAAATCTCAACCCAACCCCTAATCTTCCGTTCCCTCAGTCCCACTCTGCTCCTTTCCAAATTGGTCTCGTCTCTGCTTTCGACTCCGGAAGAAGGAAGCGATTTCGAAGAAAAAGGTAAGATAAATGGAAAAGCCGGAGGAGATCAGCAGCTCAAGGATGTTCGGCGGCTATAATCGGCGCTTCAAGCATTTCAGTCCAACCCTTGGTTGCTCCATGACCTTCTCCATCTACTTCCCTCCCACTCTCCCGTCTCAAAAGATCCCTGTAAGCAATTTCCATTTCTTCTCATTG